GAGAGGAGAAGGAGAGGAGAGGGTGGAGGAGGGAAGCTGAGAGGGGAAAAGAGGGACAAGAAGAGGGGCAAGGAAAGGGGAGAGAATGGAGAGGGAGAGCAGGAAAAGTGAGTAGGAGAGACGACGGGGAGGAAGGAAAGAGGATGGGATAGGGAGGGATGAGGAGGAAGAGAGGAGGAGAGGAGGAGAGAGAGAAGAGAAAGAGGGGTGGGGAGGAGTAGGCGCACCCATCTGTCACCATGTTAGGGAGGACTTATGAGGAGGACGACGCAGTGTGATCACTTTCGTATTGTCGAGACGCGGACGAGGGCGGAGGGAGGGTGGGAACCGGGTGAGGGAGGGAGGGAGGGAGAGGAGGGAGGGAGTGGAAGGAGGAGGAGGGAGGGAGGGGAGAGGAGGGAGGGAGGGAGGAGGGAGGGAGGAGGGAGGGAGGGAGGGAGGAGGGAGGGGGGAGGGCAGGGAGGGAGGGAGGAGGGAGGGAGGGCGGGGGAGGGGTGGGCACGGGCGGTGGTCTGGTTAACAATTCCGTTTGGAGGCAAAAACATATATATAAACGGACAAATGAAAAAAAAAAAAAAAAAAATCAATCAATCAACCCATAAACATATAGACCACATAAAAAATAAATCAGATAATAAAAGATTAAGATAATATTAAATAAGAACAGATAATATTTAAAAAGATTAAGTAAATAAATCAAAAGACAAAATTAAAAACGAAATAAATTATTAAAAACTACCAGACAATACATTTTGACTCTAATCCTGACACGACCTTGCTCGCAATCAGCTGTCGGTACATTATGCAAATATATATTTATATGCATATAATGCATATAACGAAGCCATGATTTATGCATGTAGGTATGTATTTATGTTCGTGTGCATTAATGTATGCATCAGTGTGTGCTAGGTAGGTAGGTGGGTAGGTAGGTGGGTAGGTAGGGGTAGGTAGGTGGGTAGGTAGGTAAGGTGGGTGGGTAGGTAGGTGGGTAGGTAGGTAAGGTAAGGTAGTAGGTAGGTAGTAGGTAAGTAGGTAGTAGTAGGTAGGTAGTGTAGGTAGGTAAGTAGTAGTAGGTAGGTAAGTTAGGTAGGTTAGGTAAGGTAAGTAGGTAGGTAAGTAGGTAGGTAGGTAAAGTAGGTAAGTAGGTAGGTAGGTAGGTAGGTAGGTAGGTAAGTAAAGTAGGTAAGTAGGTAGTAGGTAAGTAAGTAAGTAGGTTAAGTAAGTAGGTATGCATAACCTCTCGACGAACATATGCACGCCCGTCTCTATGCATGTACGAGTGCATGTCGCGCGCGCAAAAAAAAAATCCCTTCCTAGTTAATAAGGGTGAATTACGGCGGCGACCACGGCAATCCTCCCTGTCCGTGACCCCGTTTCGGTTGCATTTCGCGCAGCAACCGGACTGCCGGATCCAGGATTCGGCGACGCGACACAATGGCTGCAAAGGCCGGTTGCTTAAAAAAAAAGAGGCTAATATACATATGTACAGACACACATTGCATGTGGATATGCGTATATACGAAGATATGGAGAGTGAGAGTGAGGGTGAGAGAGAGTTGATGAGAGGGAGGGAGGGAGGGAGGGAGGGAGAGGAGGAGAGAGGGAGGAGAGAGAGAGAGAGGAGAGAGGAGAGAGAGAGAGAGAGAGAGAGAGAGAGAGAGAGAGAGAGAGAGAGAGAGAGAGAGAGAGAGAGAGAGAGAGAGAGAGAAACTTATACATAAACATTATATATATATATAAACATTATATATATATATATATATATATATTACACACACACACACACACACACACACACACACACACACACACACACACACACACACACACACACAACACCACACACACACACACACACACACACACACACACATTCATTTATACACACACATATATATTTATACCACGAGTTCAAATTGAATCACGTACCGCGTCCCAATGCACCTCCTTTCTCTCCCCACAAGCTACCTTTTCCTGGATGTTGCTAACCCCTTTCTACGTCTAAGGGATTCAAGGGATCAAAGGGTCAAAGGATGTTCGTCAATAGGTACTTGTTCGATTCGTGTATCGGATACTTGTCTGATTTCCTGGCATCTTTTAATTTACTTTTTTTCCAGAAATATTTAAAAAAATAAAATTAAAACATTACGTTCCATTTATGTAAACATATCTGGAGCAAAGTTGAAGGCGGCTGTTTTATTCTAAAAGTAATCGAGCAAATATAAACAACTTAACGGAGAGAGCTCAATTTACTTGAGTTAGTCCTTAATCCATCATGTTTTTTTTTCTACCAAAGAAAACTTTGACGATATTAAGTTTGTATGGGGAACTCCTACATTTCTAATTAAAAAAATATCTATCAATTTATTCAACAGAAAACTTTACAACTCCCTCGCAACGATAACACAAATCTATAGCCTGGTAAAAGTGCTTAAATACGATTCTGAAACATGTTTGTACAATTCGAACTTTCCTTTCAAATCATCCCAGTATCATAAAGAGTATTTGCGCTTCACCGGGAACTGGGATTTTGCAACAGCGTATCGATTCACCATGAATTGCCAGATATGTCCAGATCCTGTCAATCTCATCAATCATTGTTTTTGTAACCCAGAAATACACACTGTGCGCCAATTTACATAATTCATCAACAAAAAAACATGTCATTTCCGCATCGCAACATGTCGAAATACTTGCGGTTGCATTTCGTTTTTGCGCTTCAAAGGATTTCGAATCTTCAAATGAATTGCTGACTTTTAATCCGCTAAAAAATGCATGTCAATCCAAATACTGCACTAACTTACTATCGGGTTTAGTCTCCCCTGCTATACAGGTACGTTTTCTGTGGTTAATTTGATCGTGTTCCAGCGGTAACTATTGAAAATTTGTAAACTGACTATCTGTTTCTACCTTTGTTTTCTATTTAGTCTTCTTTGTTTTTACACGGTTATTCGACTCCAAATAACCCAAATTCGCTTCCGCAAGACACCCGAAAAAACTTTTAACAATTTCGCAGTTGAAGAAGGACCAGAATGACGTAAGTAGCTAAGTACAGACCTAAGTAAAAAAAGAGCGAAAATTCTCCTCCCGCTCAATACCACCGCGATCCCTTCCTGTTTACCGCGTACCATCCGCGATGCAAATAAATCAATATCGGCGACGTTACGTCTTCCTCTCTCACTTATCACCTCGTCGCGCCCGCCCTTCCAAGCGAAGAAGAATCGCCTCGTCGATATATGGGGATAAACAGGACCAAGGAAGTCCTACAACACTGCTAAGGTTGCCATGGGAAAATGCCATAACAAGATCTCGGCATACCGTCTGAGTGCGTGCTCGCCATTCACGCTCCCTTCGAACAGCTGCTGTGTCAGATAGCCGTCCCTCGCGTTGGAATTTCAGAAAAAATATTTTCCTCGAAAAAGTAAGCAATTATCTACCTCGAAAAATTAAGCAATTATTTACCTCGAAAAAATAAGCAATCATTCTGTACACAGTTTTTTTCCCCCTACAATGGAAAGGAATATTCAATAAGCACGTCCTCTCTAGTTCCAAGCTAAATAAACAAAAATAGCTAAATAAACACACAAATAAATAAAATAAATGAATAAATATATACAGTACACTACACTCACGGAAACTTCTTTCTTCAGCTTAAATAAAATATATGTATAAATATATACAGTACACTACACTCGAGGAAACAACTTCTTTCCTTCAGCTTAAAAGGAAAAAAAAAACACTCCCTATCCTTCCCCTCAACTAAAAAAAAACACACACACACAAATAAAAAGAATAAAAAATAAATAAAAAATAGAAAACTCACCACCAAGAGGAGATCTCACTCCCACTCCCCCTGGACGGCGGGGCCAACACTCACCTGCAAAGACATTAAAACAAATTAGAGACAGTCCCGGGAGGAAAGAGAAAAAATAATAATAATGAACTGGAAAGTCTGCCTCCCAGCCTTTACAAGAGATTTCATTATGGTTTCCGACGTTTCTGTGTCGCCGTCTTCAACTTTACTTTACACAGACGCTTTTCTAACAAGTTTCCAATCTTCCGCTCATGTCCTGCACACACACACACACACACACACACACACACACACACACACACACACACACACACACACACACACACACACACACACACACACACACACACACACACACACACAACACACACACACACATGCACACACACACACACAACACACACACGCACACACACACACACACACACACACACACACACACACACACACACACACACACACACACACACACACACACACACACACACACACCACACACACACACACACACACACACACACACAAACAAAACAAACCAAAAAACGACTAAATCCCCAACAACAACGCTTATTTCTTCTCTTAATTCTTCTTCTGACAGCTGGCATGACTTGTTTACATTTTCCCTCGCGTGAGGGCGTCCACTGTGTTTCACTCTGTTTTTTATCTCTCACTGTTTATATCTCTATATATCTCGTGATTATTATCTCTGTCCATTACTCAATTTTGTGTGTGTGTGTGTGTGTGTGTGTGTGTGGTGTGTGTGTGTGTGTGTGTGTGTGTGTGTGTGTGTGTGTGTGTGTGTGTGGTGTGTGTGTGTGTGTGTGTGTGTGTGTGTGTGTGTGTGTGTGTGTGTGTGTGTGTGTGTGTGTGTGTGTGTGTGTGTGTGTGTGGTGTGTGTGTGTGTGTGTGTGCGTGTGTGTGGTGTGTTTCTTGCTTCTTTAACTGTTTTTTTTCTTTACTTTGTTTGTTTTTGTGTGTTTTTGCGTGTTTGCGTCTGTCTGTGTCTATGTGTGTCTGTGTATGTATCTCTGTCTGTGTGTCTTTCTGTTTGTTTGTCTCTCTGTGTCTGCTTCTGCTTCTATATCCCTGCCTCTACCTCTGTTTCTGTCAGTCTCTGTCTCTGCCCTCTCTCTGTCTGTTTCTCTCTCTCTCTCTCTCTACCCCTCCCCCCTCCATCCACTACCCGTGGCCAGAAGCCCCATAACGAAGAGGGAAGACTTAGCAGCACCCTCGGCCCTCCAGAGGTTCTCGACCGTGCTCCTTGACCACTTCCCCCAAGGCTCTCCACAAGTGCTCGTCCCCGGCACGCCACTCGGCCAGTTCCTTGAGCGCTCCCCACGGTGACACGCGCCTCTATCTTGCATAACCGTACAATATAACGGGATTGCCGAGGCTTCCGTCGCCCCTTGATTAAAACGCGTCTGTTGAATGCCTTTTGGATAAGAGAATGTCGATGATTATGTAAAGACAAAAAAAACTCACTACGTATAAAAAGAAATCGAGAAAATGGGACATCGATGCACGGAATACCGGGTGACCATATATGCTGACGCAAGATCCGCCTTCCCCAAATGTACCGGAATGATACCGCTAACTAAAGCGGCTTGGATGGGAAGAAAAAATAACAATTCTGGGTTATGCAGCAACTTTCTGCATCGTCATATGACTTTCCGTATTTCCAGCGTCTCACAGAACAGGATACTGGCCGCGGCGCCGTGCACGTATGGACGCGCGGCTGAAAGGCAAGCGGGAGAGCCACCTCGCTTGGAGGCCGACCTTGGGAGGCCTTGGGAACCGATACCAACACAAACGAGGAGGGCCAGCAGGAGCCCAGGCCAAGCCGCCACCCACCAGGAAGAATGTGCTGTCCGTCCGCCAGAGCACGGGCGCCTCGTGGCCGCAGGGCGTCGGGGAGTCGGGAAGGTCGGCGTCGGGAGAGGCAGGGGGCGAGTAGGCCAGCGGCGGCATGGACAGGCTCTTGGCCAGCACCTTCCTCAGGCACCAGCAGTGGCCCAGGATGTCCCCGGCGTCCATCGCTCCCTCGCAAGTCGGACCTCACTCCTGCAGCCCGCACGCGCTCCTCATCCGAAGCCCTTCGCTAAATCCTCGCAATCCTCACACCGCCCACTTTCCGTTGCTCGATCCCTCACGCCCACGGAGGGAGAGACGGGGCATCGCCGCCAGCACCACGACACATCGCGTCTCCACGCCCGTCCTGCAACACTCTGGCTTGATCTCCCTCCGACACTTCCTCAACATGCGAGGGACCCTGGCGTACTCCGCCTCGCCGCCCCGCCCGCCCGCCACCTCCCCGCGGGCGTCACACTCTGCCCCGACTCGCACACCGTCACTCGGAAGAGGGGCGGGAGGCGGACCCCCCCGTCACGTCTGTAAAGCACCGTTGTCGGGAGGCTCCGTCGCGCCACAGATCGCGTCCGGAGATAGGGGCGGCCTTCAGCACGCGGCCGCCCATCCACGTAATCGCAATTTCACGCCCGCGCGCACATACAGTCGGGAGAAAACAAAGCAACCCGGCCCGACATCCTCTCGCTCTCTCCCGACGCCAAGTGTCACGAGCGCTGCCGACGGTGACACCTGCAGCCCCGGGGTCAGGACCTCACACTGGCCAGGTGCGCCGCCTCTCGTCCCGCGCCGGCCCACGCTCCGCTCAGCCTTCCAGCTCCTCGCGCCGACATGTGTCATTACCTTCAGCACAAAGAGCATTCGGAAAAGTAGGCCCCGTGGTTGCTCTCCGTCTGCCTCTTTCCTCTGTCTTCCTTTTCTCTTTCTATCTCCTCTGTCTCTCCCATCCTCTTTCTCTTTCTCCTTTACTTGCCCTCCTCCCTCCTACCACCCTCCATCCTCCCCCATCCATCCATCCTTCCTCCTCTCCCTCTTCCTTCCTCCCCTTCCCTTCCTCATCTCAAACAATATCTCCCCTCCCAGACCGAATCTCTGTCCGTCACTCCCTCCCTCTTCCTCCCCCGTCCACCCGATTCCCCGAACTCCCACCACCACCACCACTTACCCGGGCGCCCTCCCTCCCCCCCCCCCCCACTAAGCCGAGCTGCAGGTCCTCCCGAGAAGCCTCCCACAACACGGCAGACATTCGGAACACGGACGGGGTACAGTTACCGTCCACGGGTGAAGGGGTCACATCCCGTCACGCCTTGCTCCCCCAGTGGCGCTCCAGGCAGGGAGGGAGACACCGGGGGTCGGCCACCGGGGGAACCGAGGAAACCCCTGGGGAAGGGATCCGGAGGGAGGGAAGGCCGCCTTTCACAATGGGCGTGATAATCGTTTATTGTGTCTATAAGCATGTGCGTGGAAGAAAGGTAGGAGGGGAGGCATGGAGAGAGAGAAGAGAGAGAGAGAGAGAGAGAGAGAGAAAGAAGAGAAAAAGAGAGAAAGAGAAAAAAGAGAAAAAAAGAGAGAGAAAGAGACAGACAGACAGACAGACAGATTCATCAATCACAACTCGAGCGCCCGCAAGAGGGAGCGCTGCGGGCGTGGTGCTCCCGGCAGGTGCCCGCCCCCGCCTTCCCCGCAGTCGGCAGGCGCTCAACCTCGTCTGCGTCACAGTTATCCACGCCGTCACCAGACCCCCCCCCCCCGCCACCCCTACCCCCGGCTCCCCCGCCACCGCTAACTTCATTCTTCCCGATTCTCTTCAATGACCTTCCTACTTCTTCTCCCCCCTACCCCCAACTCACACTCGCCTCCTTCCCACCCATAGAGATGAAAAGACTTTCTCCTTTCCCTCACTTTCTTTTCTCTTCCTCCTTTCCCTCACTCCCCTCCCTCACTCATTCTCTTCCTCCTTCCATCACTCTTTCTTTCCTCACTTTCCCCCAACCTTCTCTTCCTCCTTTCCCTCACTCCTTCTCTTCTTGCCTTCCCTTTTCCTTATTTCTTTCCTTCCCTAAATACTCCCACTTTCTTTCTATTCTGCCTTTCTTTCACTCCTTTTCTTCCCTCCTCCTTTCCTCATTTCCCTATATCCCTTTCCTAACTTTCTTTTCTCTCCTCCTTCCTCTCATTCCTTTTCTTCCCTAACCCTTTTCCTTCTTCCCCTCCTTTCTAACCCCCTCACGTTCTCTTCTCCCCTTACTCCTCTTCCCCCCACCCCTTTCCTTCTTTCACTCCTTTCCTAAAATCATCCTCCTACCTTTCCTTTCTCTTCCTCTTTTCTCTCCCTCCTCTTCTTCTCGCCTCCCCCTTTCCCTCTCCCCCTCCTTCCCGACCCCACGGCAGGGACAACAACCCACCCTCTTACCACCATCTCCCTCGGCTCCGCCACTTTCCCACGCCCCCCGCTTCCTTCCCACGCTCTCCGCCGCCGACGCCGACGACAACGACAACGACTTCCGCCTCTGCTCTCGCCACCGGCCCTACCATCCCCCTCCCCCTCCCTTCCTCTCCCTTCTTCTCTTCCTCTTCTTCTCTTCTCCTCCCCACTCCTCTCCTACTCTTCTCCTTCTCTACCTTCCCTTCCCTTCCTTCCCTGCTCCCCCTCTCCCTCCCCTCCCCCACTCATCTCCCTTCCCTTCCCTTCCTTTTTCCTCCCCACTCCTCTCCCTTCCCTTCTCCTCCTTCCCCACCCTTCTCCTCTCCTCTCCCTTCCCTTCCCCCTCTCTCACTCCCTCCCACCTCCTCCGCATCTCCCCTCTCCCCCTCTCCCCACCCTCCTCCGTCACCCCCCTCCCCCCGCCGCTGCACCGCTGTCGATCCCCTCCCGTTCAGCCGCTGTTCGTACGCCAACATCCGTTCGCTAAAGGGGCCAGTGGAGATGGCGGGGGTGGGGGTGGGGGTGGGGGGAGTCACATGGCTAAGAGGGGGGAGGAGAGAAGGGAGGGGATGCCTGGGGTGGGGTGTGATGGTGGGGGGGAGCTTTCGTCTTGGTGGCTCTTCTCACGCTTCTTGACCTCCCTTGTTTTCCTATCTGCCTGACCGCCCTCTGTCTGTCTGTCTGTCTGTCTGCTTGTCTGCTTGTCTGTCTGTCTGTCTGTCTGTCTGTCTGTCTGTCTCTGTCTGTCTGCTGCGGCCGACCAGTACCGTCGATGGTGCTGGTGATAGTGTTAGCGGCGAGTCCTCCCCCCCTACCCCCCCATCCCACCCTACCCCCTTCCAGCTCCCTCTCGCCGCCCCCGCGCCGCCGCCAACCCCGCCCCCGCCCCCGCGATGCCGCTACACATCGCCACACACAACAATGCAGGACTTTCACGGGAAACACCATCGCATCGCACAAAAACGACAACGGCCAGGAAACGCATCCAGCCACGCTTGGGGGACGCTCCATACGCCCTGGGAAGCGCAACGGGGGGAGGAGGGAGGAGGGAGGAGGGAGGGAGAAGGAGGGAGGGAGAGAGGGAGGGAGAGGGAGAGGGAGAGGGAGAGGGAGAGGGAGAGGGAGGGGAGAGGGAGGGAGAGAGGAGAGACAGAGACAGAGACAGAGACAGAGAGAGAGAGAGAGAGAGAGGAGAGAGAGAGAGAGAGAGAGAGAGAGAGAGAGAGAGAGAGAGAGAGAGAGAGAGACAGAGAGACAGACAGACAGACAGACAGACAGAGACAGAGAGAGAGAGACAAAGAGAAAGAATGAGAGAGAGTAGGAAAAAAAAAGATAGAGAGAAAGACAGCAAAACAAAGAAAAATAAAATCAGAGAAAGCGAAAGAGAAAGACACAAAAAATACGAAAGAGAGAGGAGAGAATTAGCGAAGGGGAGAGCGAGACACCAGACGGGCAGGTAGGTCGCCGGTGACGCCCCCTGCACCCTCGAACAGGTGGGGGGGCATCCAGCCATGAGAAATCAGTCACTGACCACAGAGCAAGCGTGGCACAGAACGACGAAAGAGAAGAACAGGAGGGGATGCAGAATGACACAGGAGAAGAATAGGAGGAGACATAGAAGACAAGAAGAAGAAGAGAAGAAGAAAGAAAGGGCACAAAAGAACAGTCAGTAGAAGTATAGTATAAAAATACGAGAACAAAAATCGAGAAGAAAAAAAATCAAGAAACACAATAATTATTTTAAAATACGAACTTAAAAATAACAGTGGAGAACCAAATACAAAATGATGAATAACATCTTCCCCCCCCTTTTCATCACCATATCTGTGTGTGTGTGTGTGTGTGTGTGTGTGTGTGTGTGTGTGTGTGTGTGTGTGTGTGTGTGTGTGTGTGTGTGTGTGTGTGTGTGTGTGTGTGGGTGTGTGCGTGCGTGTGCGTGCGTGCGCGTGCGTGCGTGCGTGCGTGTGCGTGTTGCGTGCGTGCCGTGTGTGTGTGTTACAAGTAAAAAAAAAATCTCCATTTAAAAAACAACAACGACGACGACGAAGACGACAGCAAAAATCAATAGAAGACCAG